GTGCAAAGTGATTGCTTTAAAACAGTACGGTTGTCCCAGTGCCTGGATTCCCTGGCCCTTAATATTCAAAGATGCTACAGGGCAGTCAAGCTTAACAAATTATTTAAAAAGCTGGTTACCAAAAAATTTTCTCACCATGTAGTAATTATTCTTGTTCAGACAAAGATGTCTTTGCAGAATGGAGAAGCAGACCTCGAATGTGTTGCCAAGTTTTAAGGGAAATTGCCTCAAATCATCTCCTTGCTAACCTTTCTAGAACTTATTCCTTCCTGTGAAAGGGCCTGGCATGGAACTTGTCTTATGAAGTCTGGTTACCCTGTCACTTGGGACTACATCTCCTAGAAATAAAATTTCCTTGAACACAGAGGCTTTTCACTAAATCCTCCAACTTAGCTTCAGATCCAAAGATGGAATTAGAGACAAATTTGCTGTCTTAGCAACGTGAGAAAAGATGATGTTATGAATTTAATCAGGGCTTTGTGATTCCTGTTTCACTTTAGGAAGCTAAATTCTTTTACCCTTTAATGGGCCATTTTCTGGTTCATGACATTAGATACTAGAAATAAGCAATAGGAAGAATAACTCAGGTCCAGAATCTTGGGTGGGATTTCAAAATAGAGGATTTGTGTGTTCTCACTGGGAGGAAATGGATGAAGAGTATCGGGGCTTGTGAAGATAGGAAATTTGAGAATAGACTTCATTTTGCAGGTGCCAGATGCCCCAAGATGGAGTGATGAGCAAACTGCGTTGTAGGACAGTTAGTGACCTGGGAGTTACAAATAGGAATGGTGGTGTTGGTAGTGGAATTATCTTTCAAGTTTCCGTAAGCATTTTGCAGGTAAATGTGCAAAAAGAGGGTACGACTTCATAAAAACCAACATTTATTATAGGCCTATGTGCTAGGCAGGTTTATATTGTTACATACATTGGCTTATTTCATTCTCACAGTCCCTGTGTGATTTGGGTTATGAAACACAGGGATGCACCACAGGCTTCTCATACGTAAATTTTTTTGTGAAACTGAATTATGATTTCCTTGTACTCAAATCTGTTCTGACTCCTCCTCCACCAAGATCTGCCCCTTCTCAGTAAAGTTTTCCCTTCTCTTTGGTCCATCAAGCCCGAATCCAGGTAATGGTTTTGCTGCTTCTCTTTCCTTGCCCTCCACCTGCAATACCTCACCAAGGTCTGTCAGTTATACCCCAGAATATATCCATACCTCTCACCTTAGATTGTGTCTTCGTCTTCCCTCCTTCGTGCCGCCATAGGAGCTTCCGAGCTGGCCTCTCTCCGATGCACTTCACATTCAGCCTACACCGGAGGCATTTGTGAAGGCAAACTGTGCCAGTGCCCTGCCTGAAACCGTTGAATGGCATTGCCCTGCAGTAAAGTGATATCCAACGTATTATTGTGGCCTGCCAGTTTCCACACCACCTGTCCCCATCCACCTCTCCACACTTACCTCGCAGAGCTCCAGCTGCGTTAGCTGCTTTGTGTTCCTGGAGAATGATAAACTCAGTCCCACATGGCTGGCCTCCTGAGCACCCAAGTGTCAGGCTGATGTCAGGTCTGCAGAGAATCTGTGTCTAGTATCCCAAGGTAAAGGAGATATTTTTCTGCTCAAGTACTCATTGTAAAGGGGATACTCTCTTGCCCAGGTACTCACGCCATACTGCCTTAGACACCTGGTTTCTATGCAACACCTGTTTTTTACCACCTTTGTTGTTATGTTAACAAAAAGTCTAAAGTCTCACAGGCTTAAGACAACAAAGGTTTCTTTCTTGCTCACTCTGCATGCCCATCGTGGGGCACAGGGTCTCTGCTCCTGCCGGCTGGACTGTGTCTGATTGTCACAGCAGGGAGAAGGGAATGAGGCACACCGCACACGGGATAAAGGCCTCTGCCTATAAGGGACCCGTGTCACATCCACTCACATTGCATTGGCTAAAGCAAGTCACATGGCCATGGCTGCCCTCAGAGGGTGAGGGGAATGCCACCTGGTCACGTGCCCAGCAGAGTTGCAACCCTGGTAAACCAGTGCTGACAACCTCCCTATTCCTGCCAGAATGTGCAAGTTAGGGGCAGGGAGATGGGCTTTTGCAAAGAACGTGTGTGTAATAGTGTGTTTCACCCACATCACATCTAAATTGGGCATAATAATGATACCTACTTCATATGGTGGTTTTAGGGATTAAGTGAATTTATACCTGTTATTAATAAGTACTTAGCACAGTGACTGGCATAAAAGCTCAACAAATGTTAGCCATGATGATGATGAGGATGATGATATTAAAAACACACAGGTAGTTGCAATATACTATGTAGAAAAATCTTTATTAATCATGGTATTAGGAGGACGTTCATCTGGAGTGGCATACTGCTGGGGGTTTAATTAATGGACCTTTAGTAGGTAGCTTAATATTGTAGATGAGCAAAAGTAAAATATTTCTGCCCGCACAAATAAAATATTATAGTTTGATGCCTTATTGTTGCTTTTCAAAATCTAGAAATTTTATGTAAAAACATGGTGTCAAAAACATGTTTTCTCTATCACTCATTTGTAAGCCTAACGTTTGCGCCCGCAGGGTCAGTGCAGGCATGATGCAGCTGTTTTAAATGAAAAGCAAGCATGTGAATACAATTCCTATAACTTTGAAAAAAAATGTTTATACTTAGTCCCATGATTCCTAATTTAAAAGATCCATAAGCAGAGAGGACTTTTGGCAAAATAAGAAGTCCTGCACATCTTTCTTCTTTGGTATTCGGAGTTCATCTGTCTGTGCAGCATGGAGCTTGGATAATTGGAGTTAGTCTAATGTTTTAATCTTTTGGATAGAGGGGGTGAATAAATACACAATCTGTTTTACAGGACATAGAAGTATCTTTACAACTAGAAAAATGATGTTTAAAATTCTTCCTTGATTTCAGTTATTGAAAATGTTCATAGGGTCTTGAGCAATATAACATAGCTCCTCTAATTTTTACCTGTGTCTAAAAAGGATAGAATGCCAAAGTATTAGTAAAGCATCACCTTACCTGGCTATCCTATTTGAAATGGCAGGTTCGTGCTTCCTTCCCCTGTTGATTTTTCTTCTTAGCATTTGCCGCCATTGGATATACTATAAAGTTTACTTGTTCATTTTTCGTCTCCTCTCAGTAGGATTTGAGCTCCAAGGAGGCAGGGGCTTTAGTGTGTTTTATAAACTGCAATAACCAAAGCACCAAGAACAATGCATGATATAATAAATGTGTTTAATTAGTCAGTGAAATTACTTAACAGGTATTTACTCAATGCGCAGCACTGGGCTTGATATTATGGGATATTTATAATGGAGATTAGATATTTTCATAGTCTTGAAATAACAAAACAAACATTACATCGCTCTGGAAAAATGAGGGTCAAGATATGTGCTGTCGATTGGAACTGAATGTCATAGGGATGCAGTGAATGCAAAGGTGATTGTCGGCTTGAGAAGCCACACACAGGCCCTTTGTTTAGATATGGTTTAATTCGGTTTGCAAGTTTTGTAGCATGCTGTTTGGTAATTAAGAGCAATTCCAGTTTTGCCTAATTTTGAGTTAGACACTTCTAACAGGAATATTCCATAGCCAAACAGTCCAGCCTAGAGTGGTGGGATCGGCAGCCACTCAAAGTCTTCATAAGGTTTCACACCAGTTCAGTCTGAGTGTGACATTTTAGCCTGGAGCCAAGCGTGAGAGCTCCTCATTTGGGCAGATTTGTGACATTTCTTCCTGGCTGGATTGCGGATGATATTCGAGTTGCCCCTGCTGCTTCCTCCTGTCTTCACCCTGCATGTGACTCTGCTTTTAGTTAGTGTCTAATAATCTCTAAGGCCAGGACTCCTGTTTGTATGAAGAGTGAGAAGGATTGACATGAAGATATTTTCCCTGTCAAACAGAGAAAGCCTGGGAGAAACCTAAGGCAGGAGTAGAGGGGTAGATGGGTCTTTAATATCTAAGGATGAGCCATTGGGAATATCACAGTACATTTAGTGTTCGTGTTTAATGTTTGGTCAGCACTTTAAAGATGACCAAGTGTTTTCACATGGTGGTGATGGTGCGGCCGTGTGAGGACAGAGAGGTGACCCCATTATGCACCAGCAATGTGTCGCTCTCAATGCATTCCCACAACAGTCCTGTGGGCTAGTTATTCTTATTATTCTCACTTTGCAAATGTCAAAGACAACTATCATAGCTTTGTTTTAACTACAGTGATAAGTGACAGAACCAGGATTTGAATGCGGCTTTCTGGTTTAAATGTGTGTGCTGTTACTATTTCTTCTTCTGGGAAGAAAAAGTGAACTTTCTATGACATGCTTTTTTTATGCAATAGAATATTTGATGCGAAACATGGAAGCATTCTAGAAATATTTGTAAGCTTATCATATTCAGCAAATAAGGTAGTTATCTATAGCAGACGGTTTGAAAATGTGCACTTATGTTTTTTTTTTTTAATAACACATTGCAGCCTTCTGTCTTCGATAACATATTCTCCTAAATTAGAACGTAAGACATCAGAGTGTATAATACCAACAGACAGCGACAATGAGAAGGGGGAGAGAAATAGCAAACGAGTCTGTTTTAACGTAGCAGGAGATGAACAGGAAGATTCAGGTCACGATACCATCAGCAACAGAGACTCTTACAGGTAATTCATTAATTCCTCAAACCCATTTTGTCAAGAAAGTCGAATGTGATTCTGTATTTTGCACAAAGGTCTTGAAAAAACTTTTTGATTGTTGGGTTTTTTTTTGGTCTCAAAATGTTCATATGTTATTATTAACTTCAGACAGAGCATAATTGGGGCAGCAAAATCTTTCAAATTCTTCCCTTTCATCATCTGAGTAACTTGGAAAAAGCATTTTTTTCTCCACCTCTGTGGACGTAATTTGGGAGACTTGTTCTATGTGTGGATTGATTATAACATGGATAGCAAATATGAAAATTGTGCCTATACGGTATTAACATTTTTTCTACATATCTGTTTCTGATCATTGGGAGTGAATAGTTTTTTGCCCTATTCCTCTCTGTTCTTTTTATATTCTCTGTTCCAAGCTAATTGGACTAATTCCACTTGCCCACCCCTGTGATGAGCTTTCTTCTCTTGGATGTCTTTGTTAGTTTTCTAAGGCTGCCGACAAATTAGTACAAACTGTGTGGCTTAAACAGTGGAAATTTATTATATTATCACGTAGTTCTGGAGGCCAGAAATCTGAAACCAGGGTGTTGGCCGTGTTGGTTCCTTCTTAGGGCTGGTGGTTCCAGGCCTCTCTCCTTGACATGTGAATGGCCATCTTCTCCCTGTGTCTCTTCACATCAGCTTCCCTCTACGTGTCTTTGTGTCCAAATTCCCCATTCTTATAAGGACACTAGTCATATTGGATTAAGGATCCACCCTAATGACATCATTTCAAATTTGATTACCTCTGTAAAGACCCTATCTCCAAATAAGGTCACATTCTGAAGTTCTGAGTGTCACATGTCAACATGATGAATTTTGGGGGTGACACAATTCAACCTGTAAAACTCCTTCCAAGCTCTTTTGTCGTCTTCCTACCAGACTCTCAAATGACAGCTCCTCCCATGAACTTCCTTAATTGATAAGGGCTTTTTCTCCCCTGAACCCTGTATCACCTGAAACCTCCTGGAGGACTGCCACAACCTGCCACATAAGCTGTGTGTACAGCTTTGACATCTCCCGTTTCATTTATATTAATTGAAGGCAAAACCTCTCTCATTCCCTCTTATTTATTATACTGTGTTTTGTAATGAAAGAATGTTCAATATTAATCAAATGAAAGTTATTCTCATCAGAGGTATTTATCACAAACTAGTAGCTAACATTAAAAATATACTTTTCCCAGATACATGGGGGAAGAGGGTGATTTTATGTAATCCCCACCGTGACCTTGAGTG